CGACCTTATCTGAAAATAGCTTAAAGCTCATGTTGTTGAACTCAGACCTAGCCACAAAGAATATTTACTTGAGCTTCACCCATGGGGCAGCAGTGTCACAGCTGGTACTATGAAGAAGCCGATCATATGATTTTGAATTAGACCCATCCGAGCAAACGAGAAAGGGCTATGAGCAGATTGCAAAGGTATGCGACATCCTCTTTCCACAATAAGGCGATGTGCCCCAGCAGTTCGTTTTGGTTAGGCAATTATATCAAATAGTTACAGCACTTGTCAATCAACCACACTGGTCAATTTGGGTTGGTTACGGTGGGGAGTGTATATGTGATGGCATAGAAATACAGTACACCTAATCTTACCATACGTGCTAGTTGTGTCATGTTGATGCATGACCTTACCATTCGGAACTTGACCATGTACAGTTTTGTTTAGATTGTTTTGTTCGAGTTTTATTGTTATTGCGGTAACCAGGTTTCTATTGTGTGACCAGATCCCCATAAACGATTCGCATTCATGCTCCAATGGGTTTAACCTGTGCCAAAATAAAACCCCCAAAAAAACCTAAAACCTAAATGTAAGCGATCCCCGGTAAACAAAAATCATCATCACTGCAATCATCCACTTTCTCCATCCCCAGCCCGTCCCGCATCTGTGTGCGCATCGGTGAGCACAACATCTTCGTGTCCGAGGGCAACGAGCAGTGGATCCAGGCCTCCAAAGCGATCCGCCACCCCCGGTACAGATCGGCCTCCACCGACAACGACATCATGCTCATCAAGCTGTCCACGCCCGCCACCCTCAACCAGTACGCGCAGGCCATCCCGCTGCCCTCCTCCTGCGTTGACACCGGAGTCACGTGCACCATCTCCGGCTGGGGCGAGACCCAGACCAGCGTCGGTGAGGACACGGCGCTTCGACGGCCGTCTACCCTGGAAAATCCATTTTAGCAAGAGTTTTTAAAGATTTTACAATGTCGGTTTCGTGGTCACTCTGTATAGCTCTCGGATGTGTTTTCGGGCTGTACCACGTCGTGTTCATCATGACGAACAACGTTTTGCTCCACTTTTTGGGAGCTCCCAGCACGTGCAGCGAAACGTCAGATGTCATGTCCAACAACACGCAGTACAACCCAAAAACACATCAGAGAAAAATGTAATAAAGTGGTGGGTAATCTGCAGTCTGCGGGCCGAATGCGGCCCATACAGTCCATCGTGGGGGCCTGTTTCATCTCGCCCTTTCCTCCGCTGTCTTCCTCTGCTTACTTTTCTCCAGGTTTATAAATGGGCACAAGCTACCAACCCATTGCATTGTCTCAGCATTACTGGGACCTTCACGCTGAGTCCACTGAACTCTCTTCTGCCGCAGCCTGTGCGTATGAGTTTCTCCGTCCTCACGTTACCCCAATATCTTTCCCCAGTGTATGATGCCTCACCACTGCCACCCGCGTGTCTCCATACAGGCAGCCCCGATGTCCTCATGTGCGTCCAGGCGCCCGTGCTGAGTGACACCTCCTGCAGGAACTCCTACCCTTTTGTCATCACCAACAACATGATCTGCCTGGGATACCAGGAGGGTGGCAAGGACTCCTGCCAGGTGAAGTCCCCTGAATCGACTTGAGTCGACAAGTCTGAACGGGAGTATGAGCGTCGTCCTACCCTCTTGCTACAAACCAGTGCCACCTCCAACAAACATACAGATCCAGACAAAGTATACTACTGTCGTAGTCCACGGCCCAAAGTAGATATTTGTACCAATGTAGCAAGATTAAAATATTGCGGATATGTTTATGTAGCTATTAAGAGTGAATTATGTCACAACCCACTGATTGTAACCACTAAAGTTACGCCTCCTCAGGTGGTTTTGACAAGTGGAATATCTGGCCTGGGCCCATGGACTAACAGCAGTGCCTCACTCATTAGTGGTAGTGCCAGGCATAAGCAATCAAAGCAAACGTTCAGAGCCCCAAGCAGCACCAGGGTCCCAGATTCATGAAAAAGCATCTTGAAATCCGGTCCTCTTACACCATATGAACACAAAACGTTAATTACTCTTTCATCGATATTTTGGTTACATCTCTTTCATCTAACTCAATATTTATCACTTCGTTTTTCACGGACAATATTTTTGGAATAGGCCACAAACTCGCGATCTAAGGCAGTCGTCTGTGCGTCCAGAAAAGCTGGGAACCACATTAGATGCAGGAGCCAGCCGCTAACCCCTGACCCTCTAACCCCTGATGCCGCCACCGCAGAATGACTCCGGCGGCCCCGTCGTATGCAATGGCCAGCTGCAGGGCATCGTGTCCTGGGGTCGCGGCTGCGCCCTGCCCAACCACCCCGGCGTGTACACCAAGGTGTGCAACTACAACTCCTGGATCGCCAGCACCATGGCCGCCAACTGAGCAACTTACTTCGAACCCTCCTTGCCGAGCAACAAGCACCATGATAGTTTTAATGCCATGAAACGAATAAAACCTTTGAAATGTTGATGCCACCATTTTTTTGTCGTCTTATTTTCTTCTTAAAAGTGACGGTGTGAAGCACACAAGAGCATAGAATAGTACGGCACAACAGTGGATTTTACTGTTCAGTAACAGGCCTATAGCTCAGTATGAAGACCACTATTGGTCCTACCTGCAACCCTTTAAAAAAAAGTTTCCACTTCAAAGTAGAAATTGTCAGTAAAAATTGGTCAAAGTGGTCATTTGAATTCATTTGCATAAGTGTTTTTTTTCTTGCAATTGTAATAGTTTTGGCAAGAAAGTTATTGAGTTGAATCAATACATATGTAGTGTATCACAAGTCGGAGACGAGGTAGTTGCAGGAGGCACCTTCTTTTATTGTAACACCTTTCAGGCGTAAACACACAAGATCGCCTCCTTCTCGCTCCCATTACTGTATAGCCCAGCTTAGACACAAGCTTAGCTGCGTTGCACCGACGGCGTCGACCGAGACAGCCAACAGCTGTCCAGCCGCAGGTTCCAGGGGCTTCCCGATGACGTCTTCCGTGACCCTTGCCCCAGTTCCTCCGCCCTGCCGGCATACCTGTGTAATATGCTCAATGGCATGTGCATTAACTGTCCACCGCAATTGCCGCTGCTGGACAGCAGTCGGCGCTATGTCACTACACATACAAAATAATTTGAGGGTTGACATGCAAATGCATTGGCTAATAGCGGTTTCCCAATGGTCGATTCAAACTCCTCCCACAGCCAAACTCCTCCCACATCCAGAAGCGGGGCTACAGGGTGACCTCGGGCGCTCTCAGAGACCCTCCCAGCCAATCACAATCCGTCATTGTCCTCATTTGAATATGACCCGCCCCATAAAATCAACTCCTCCCCCTTTTATCCCATCTGTGAAGGATGCGATTCCTGATATGCAATACCCTGGTGTCTACAAACTAAGTTGTGGCTGCGGCAGAAGTTACATTGGGGAAACGAAACGACATGTCTCGGACCGTGTTCGTGAACACAAGGCAGATCTGAAACACGGTAGGACCAATTTACCTCTGCCGTTGCTGATCATTGTTTTAACGCTGTGGGCTCACACAAAATAAATTTTTCCAAGACGAAGGTACTCTGCTAACCCACCGGCTATCATCAGAGATTTGTTCATGAAGCCATCCAAATATATAAACACAGACACAACTTCAACCGAGAAGATGGGTACAAACTGAGCAATCATTGGAATGACGTTATTAACCAGGTAAAGTCTTAACTGACTGTGATGTTTCCATCCTACCTGCCGATGTCAGCAGTTATTTCCGACTCCCTGAGTACATCACCAGGTTAAATGTCTTCACATTAACGGGCTAAGTGTCTCACTAACACAGCTACCGTTGCCCCTTTCCCTGGATGTGGCGGGAGCTCTCGTTTTTTAACATACTATAACTGGCTGTGATGTTTCTGTGTATGTGTCTCTCTCTGTGTGCGTGTCTCTCTCTTTGTGTCTCTGTGTGTGTGTCTCTCTCTCTTTGTGTGTCTCTCTATATGCGTGTGTCTCTCTGTGTCTCTCTGGGTGTGTGTCTCTCTATGTGCTTGTGTCTCTCTGTATGTGTCTCTCTATCTCTGTGGTTGTTTCTGTGTCTGTGTGTGTCTCTCTCTGTGTCTCTGTTTGTGTGTCTCTCTGTGTGTGACTCTCTCTCTCTCTGTATGTGTCTCTATGTGTGCGTCTCTCTCTCTCTCTCTTTGTGTCTCTGTGTGTGTCTCTCTCTGTGTGGGGGTTGTCTTTCTGTGTTTGTCTCTCTCTGTGTGTCTCTCTGTGTTGTGTCTCTGTGTGTGTCTCCGTATGTGTCTCTCTCTGTGTGTCTCTCTCTTTGTGCGTGTGTCTCTCTATGTGTGTGTCTCTCTCTCTCTCTGTGTCTCTCTGTGTGTCTCTTTGTACGTCTCTCTCTGTGTGTCTCTCTCTCCATGTGTGTCTCTCTCGTTGACATGCTGGTCTCTCCTCGTAGTTGCTCTTGCCGTTATTTTATTTTGTTGTCCGGCTCTCTGACATTGACATGCTAATCTTCTCATTGGCACAGTCCCTGGTTGCTGGAGCCGTCCCACATTGACATGCTAATCTCTTACATTTACATGCAAATTCCATCTCTAATTCCGCCCACTTACCCTTGGGTTGAGCCCACCAAAAGCCTATATAACCTCTTGTTGCAGCAGCCCTTTCTCCTGCCTCAGCAGTTCTCCTGCTGTGTTGGTCTCACTTGATGACGATTGCTTGTGTTGCGATCGAAACGTCGGGATCTATTAATTTTCTATCTACGTGACTTTACCGAAAGAACCAAATAGTATGGATTCCTGCAATCACGAAAGCTTCAAGATTCCTCCCCCTTCTCAACCACTCCCTCTAGACTTGTGAATTGATGGTCGGTAAATCGAACAACCTTTGAGGACTCGATGAACCATTCAGGCATAAGAGTCGATCGTGGAATCCGGGTCACCTCTAGTGGGGACCTTTAAACCGCACGGCGCTCAGAAGTCACCGCGTGGAACCTTCCAACAACAGACGCACAGTCACATACAGAGGGAATGAATACCTGTCAACCCCATACGGCTTACCCCGTATTCTTGTGCGGGGAAATGCAGTTTTTCAGGTCCATACGGCGTACAGCCGTTTTAATACGGGCAAAAACCCCATTTGTCTGTGTTTCTCTATTGTGGTGGGACTTTGTAGAATGAACGTTGAGATTTATAAGGGCACGGGGTGACCAATAAGGTCTGAGTTGGTTTCTAGTAAGGTAGGGCACTGATAAGGGGTTGCCAGGTATGGGTATGCGCTTTTTAATTTTTATTGTTAAACGTTTTCATCATCACCACCACCGCTGTCAGGAAGTTGTACCACTTGCAGTACGGTACAGTACACACGTGTGTACTGTATAGCAGTACAGACTCGTGTGTGTGTGTGTGAATGGCTCCTGAGGAAACAGAGAAACCCCGACTGGACTAATCTAGATATATAAAAGGGAATTTGTGAATGTGTGTCTGTTCAAAATATTTAGCATACTTCCCGACATGCAATAAACGTGGGTACTTTCCAGACTACACCATGCAAAAATTATCAAAATTGACTTTTGTATTTTTGGGGAGGTGGGGGCGCAATAATGCATATATTTTGCACGCCAAGTGAGCTGTGACATCACATCTGTCATGTCACCCGCATGCGGAAGCGTAACGCAGTGTGCCTGCTGACGTCATGCACCCCCCCCCCAACCCGCCGCGAGTAAAGTGCCATACAAATGTGTTGCAGGTCTAAGGCGTTCTTCGCGCAGCATTGCATTACTATTTCAGTCGTTTACTGCTTGTACGCACCCTGAAAGTTGTGTGTGTCTGCAGCAAGCGCGTGTATGTGTACCTATGGATACGCACGTGTGTGTGGGGGGAGCGGTAGTGTAGTGGTTAGCGTGCTGCGCTACGAACCCGGCGACCCGAGCTCGATTCCCGCTCACGGCCACCAATGGTGACGATTATTTGAACCGGTCCTGGGCCTCCCCTAGATCGACTCAGCCTCAAACGAGTAATTCGTGTGGTGTGTGAACATCGCCACTGGGGATACAAATGCGGCTGGGCGTAGTGAATCCAAGTCCCGGGCGAAGCTGGCTAGTCTGTAAAAAAAAATAACTTCATAGCTCATCTTCGGTATAAAGATTCAAATTTAGATTCTCCGATCTCCTCGCCAAGTAGTTACAGTCTCTTCGTGCTGCTACACAATCCAGTATTAACAAATAACGTTACAAATACGCTTCATTTACACGGCTGGATGGAGAGGCTGGCGGGGGGAGATTTTTTATTAAACTCGCTCCATTGTTACAGCTGCCGCGCCCGGAGATCGTACCTTTATTGCACGTCCAGGGTGCTGGTGACCATTACAAACACGGCAGCTCCCGTCAAAATTACAATGTTACGATGATTGCGAGACATTTCTACCTTAAATATCACCGGTTTTTACGGGTTTTTCATGCGGTTACTGTAGCAACTATCGAGTCGGGCTTATGTTGAGTGCACGCTACAGTCAAAACAAGTTGAAGCGATTCTTATTCCAATTTAAAGTGCTGTATGTACATCAAAGCGTGAAAACGAGACGATGCGAAATACAATTGCAAAGTTATGGGGGAATTATAAAAACGATCATTGTCACCGTGAAACGTCACATACCGTATCATATCGTGAATATCGCAGCTACCAGAAGTTTTCAAATGATAACAAAAGCATGTGAAAAGCACTCGGCCTTTGTGCATTATGCAAAAACCATGTGAAGAATTTCATGAAGAAGTACATTCTGGTTCTCTTGTCTGAGGCCATCAACACAATTCATTTGAGCAACTGACTGATAGGCAGCAGTGATGCAGTGATAAACAACTGTGGCCCGGTTTCATCCTCCTTAGAACTCATCAGCATAGTGCAGTATTGTCACCCAAATGCTCACTGCTGCAGAGTATACCTCCGGATACCGTATACGCGAAGACCGCACTGCCACACGATGATGGCCCATCAGCTTGGCTAATGCCAACAAAGAATAACATCGGCAAAAAACGACTCCAACAAAAATCCATCACAACAGAACAATCTCGCAACAACACACATAAGGCATTTGCAACCGCAGCAGCAGCAGCAGCGACCTTCGGCGCCTCCAAATCCCGTGCCTCACTTTATTCCCAGCAACACGAGCAGCACGAGCTGCTGCTGCCGCCCCTCTTCGACGTCGACTTTGCCGAACCCTTCGATCCGACGACGTCGGCCCCGGCGTCCAGCAGGAGCTTGACCACGTCGCCGTGCCCGTTGCGCGTCGCCGCGTGAATCGGAGCCTTGCCGCTGGCGTCCCTCGCATTCACGTTGACCCCTGCCTTGAGCAGCGCCGCCACGACCTTGGCGTGACCCTGCGCCGCGGCGAGGTGGAGCGGCCCCTCCCTGTTCCTGTTGACCACGTTCAAGTTGAAGTTCGCCGTCCGAGCCTTTTGGATGTGGTCCACGTCGCCGTCGACGGCGGCCTTCAGCACGCTCACAGCGGTCACGGCCGCCGCCGGCTGTACGGGCTTGGCCTTGACGGGTTCCACTTTGGCCTTGACGGGTTCCACTTTGGCCTTGACGCCGCTCTTCTTCGGCTGGCCGCCGCCCTTGTTGATGTCACCCAGCTCGCAGCCGTCCATCTCGAGCAGGTAGCCGATGAGCTGGCGCTGGCTGTCGCCCACCTTCGTCGACACCTCTGCCACGTAGCGGCGGATGTCCAGGTACACCTCGGGCTCGGCACGCTTGAGGCACGGGTTGAAGAAGAGACGGCACGCCCGCTCGCCGGAGCGCGCCACCATCTCCAGCATGCTGGCGTTGCACTCGCGGCGCGACTCGAGCAGCACCAGGGCGGCGTGCTGGTGGTAGCTCAGCGCGCCGTGCTCCACCAGCAGCCGCAGCAGGAGCTCCGTGTTGAGGATGTCCACGCAGAGGTCATCCTTGCGCAGCTGCAGCACGTCGATGGCGTACGGGTTGGAGCTCTTCTGGAGTCGATCGGCTTGCATTTTCCGACGTGGGTCGTGGTGTTATCGGGGCGGGGGTTGCCGGAAACTAAAACTTACAGACTCTCACCGGTTGTCATGCTGGTGGCTTGGTGTGTGTCTGCGAGGTGTTTGGAGTCAATCAATCGTAAATCCTAACGACTATTTGAGTGTCGATATGCTCCTAAGGATTATTTGTAAGATAGACTTGTTTTGTTTGTTAAGGCGTATGCGTCATTCGCAATAGTTGTCGGTGGTGGCCGTTAAACCGAGAAGGCCAAAAACATGCAGGGCACAGAGATAATGAAAGGAGTTTGATTACTTGAGGTCTTATCCCAGCAACTGTTGCTGTCGACTTTGAAGCTGATGTTTCAGAACACGGCACACAGGACAATCGTTTACTTTCCTGTGTAACGTAAAACGAAGGGAGAGTCGCGTGCCTTCATACCCGGTATTCCCTGTCGTAACGTTGGGGTTGACTCTACTCAGCAGGTATGTGTTGGGTGTTGCGTTCGCATGCGACAGTGCCGCAGGTCCCTTTGACTTTAAATAATAAATAACGGACGTGTAGCGTGCGCTGCCAAGATTCTGAAAAAAATAGAAATTGCAAATTATGTTACTTTCGATATTTCGCGTCGAGTGGCACCAACTAAAATATTCATACTTGTGTGATTATTATTATTAGATATGCATTTGGGAAAGATGTAAACCATTACAATCACTCTCTTGAAATGTGTTATTATACGTGGCGGTGTGATGAAAACATGGTCAACACAAATTTATGACTTAGGTTTTGTTTTAGTCAAAACGGAGGTTATTTCATAAAACATCTCAAAACCACAACATGCTTTACTGTTTAGATAAAATATTACAAGATTTTCTTTGTTGTACCTCATTGCATCTATTATTGAAAGTGTAAATGCATTGTCTCCGTGTGAAATATGGTCAAACAATCATTATAACTGACATGACATGGACAAGTGATGACACAGTGTCCCTGCTCTGATCCCTGCTCTGATCAACAAGCCAATGACCAAAATTCCACATTTCTATGGCAGTACCATTTTGTTTGTGGGATGACCACGGTCAATCTCCCACAATGTGGCTATCATTTTATTGACACCAAACGGATCATAGCGGACTCAACAATGATTGAGATCGTTTATTTATTTTGGGGTTAGGCCACGTAATTTTATGCCAAAAAACTTGTCATTCGCCTCGCATTCGACTTTCACTTATCCAGTTGTGAGTAATGCGATATAACCACTTTTAAATAACCAAATGAAAGTTATGAATATCATAAACTTCAAGTGTACATATAAACAGGACCATATACACAACAATGGATGGGTAAATGTGAATATACATTTTATCAATGCTAATTTTTACATCATCACGATCCATGGGCAGATAGCCCGTGGGTGTCCACTGCACTATTCGTCATTAGGCATGTGTAAAAGACTTTTACACGCACTTTTAAAAGTATGAGTTTACATTCTTACCGTCAGCCTGTGTGGACCCACGCTCAGCCCAAGATGCACTGAATAAGCAGGTCCTACTCCGCTGCCTTTATTGGAGTAAATACCAAACAGCTCGTCTCCAGGTGACACCACGTGCCTGTTTGCTTCACACCTCGTGTGTGGGTCGTTGCGGAGGCTGTTCAATCATCCCGGTGATGAGGCACAAAACTTCATGACGATTGAAACACGCGATGTTTAAATTCCACTGCAAGAAAAGCCGATGTTAATTTAACGGGGAACGTGTTGCCATTATTGTAAATGTGTTATTGCAGTGAAAAGGTTTTAGACATATTGTATATTTTTTTATGGAAATGCACGTGCTTTGGGAATGTGTGTACGCACAGCGGGGGTTGCAGTGGTTAGCGTACTGAGCTACAAACCCAGCTACGCGAGTTTGATTTCCCACTCAGAGCCGAGAATATTTCGTACGGCGTAGATTTATGTTTAGCCAGATGAGAACTCGACAGACCAGGATGGGTCTCATTTGCGAGAGTGATCTGAGTCACCCAAATCACAAAAACAATCAAATAACAAGTATAGGAATGAAGCAAATAGAAATCAAACACACGTGAATTTGACATTATATTCCCCGTCGCGTGAGACTGATCCTAGCATGAGCCTGCCGATAGTAAAATGGCAATCAAGTGACGGAAATGTTTTTTAGACATGTGGAAAACAGTCGATGAGCAACGTGGATGACGTATCGTGGCGAGCAAGACGTGGCACGGCTTCACAAGACTAAGGGGTGATGAACACTAAAACAAAGTGTGTGTGTGTTGTTTTTATCAATAGAGCCAGACTCTTATCTGTTATTTTAATCTGCATCTCTAAATCTGGCATGTAAATGCCCACTACAGACTTAAAGCGTGTTTTGTCTGCCAGTAAAGCTGGTGTCTTCGTGAAACAAAGAATACATTGACCCATCAGTTGTGAATTTTATTTTATTTCATCACAGTTAATGATCACGGGCCCAAAAGCCAACATCCCCATGGCTAGTAGCAACCAGCACTGTTGAAGGTAGAGGAGACATAGTTAATGCATTGCTTGAATTGAGCAAGGTTGTGAATACTTGGGGACCACGGACAATGAATAACCAAGCTTCAATTAGCAACGTGTTGAGACCTTGGCATCTAATCTCGTCATTACTCACCGGGGTTTTCTTTAGAACCAGTGGGGGGTCATCCAGACTTCGTGTGTTTGCTTTGCATCATCTGCTGTGTTCTCTGCCTCTGCGTGCGCCGTCGGTGTAAAGGCATTCACGAGTTGTTTTGCAACGGAACAGCGATGCAGACCAGGCAGGCACGTTGTGTTGTGGAAGTGCCAAAAGTAAAGTCCGCAAGGGTTAGATGTGTAATGTTTATCGAAGGCATGAAGCAAACACGAGCCGGTTCAATCCTTGCGTGAGGTCACTTCCATTGTATATGAACCGGAGGGAGAGAGAGGGAGAGAGGGCTCGTTGCGAAATTCATCTTTTTGCAAATACGTATGTGACCTGAATAACCATGCTGCACGGTTACTTAGTGATCGTTGGCCAGGAATTATTCGAATTATAGAAAATGCCTTGGGGTGGAGTGGTGGTAATGTTTGTAATGGGATGGTGGTTAAGTGCTTAGCACGCTGGGCTTTGAAACAGGTGACCTGAATTTGATTATAATGTAATAATAAATTCAACTTGGAACGCACCGTACGGTATTTGATCACTCGATCGAAGAGACGGAACGACTAAGAGGCACGAGGAACCACAGAGAAGCAAGAAGGCAGCTAGGCGGTGAGCTGGTGTCAACAATTGCCCAAGCTGTGCGGTCCTCTATTTGTTAAGATGTTTTCAGCCAATTAATGAGCACATGCGGGAGTGTAAACCAGAGCGCCTGAAAAAAACCCACACGTGCGAGGGGGTACACTGTATCCCATACGGAAGGGACAGACGATACCAGTCCACATTTTGTTGCACTGCCTTCTGGCAAACCATTGTATGGCACCTTGACGCCCACGGGAATGGAGTTTCACTACATTTGTGTGATCCACCAACACTCACCTCCACAGGTCTGATCTCCGGTTACGGCTAACATCAATTGCCAGTGACGTCAGATCGGGTCCTGCCTTCCCACTCCTTCCTCAACCCGGACTGACCAGCATGGTGACGTATATTTATCTATCGCTCCACGTGAAAATATGAAAAAATTCACGCATTCCACCAGTCACGTGGCCTGCTGAGTGTGCATAATTTCAACAGCATCGGTTCAGTAAGCAAACAAACTCTGGTCCGGTTTCAACATTCCTCGTCTCATCAGCAGTCAGTCTTGCTTGAACCAACGCCGGTGAACTGCCAGCTGTTCATCAGCAAGGATCCTGTCTGTTAGATGTGGCCATGTGTCTGATGGGATGTGTAAACAGTGCTTTTATTTTATATATATACAGATATGCGAAGGAGGCATATTGTCTGCTTATTTTTTTTGTTAGAAATTCTTCACAACAACGTTCATGACCATTTCCTGTTACTACTGTATATAACAGACGTGTTCGGAATATACATTAAAGAATATAACAAGTGTATCAACACTGACACATCTGTGTGTCCACATCAATTATGGTGTTGCTTTATTTAGTTTAACACGTAGGCTTTCGCGACCAATATCCACAATCCAGGTTTTAGGGGTTAGATGTGTCGTTAAACCCGCGATGAAGCTAAGTTGTAATTACTGGCGAAACGTCGTACTCAGATTGTACATGTTGTGGCTTGGACCTCCAACACACCGGTTAGTGCTGTACTAGTGACCAATTTTGATTTAAAGCTTTCGTGACTGCAGGGATTCATATTCTTGGTTCTTTCGGCAAAAAACTTCGTGACACATTAATTATCCAGGAGCCCACCGTCCCGTATTCATCGCAGTGCGTTGCGGCTCTTGAAATATTGAGTCGTTTTTAATCGAATTCGAAAAAAAATGTCTCTCATTGTTAAGTTGGTTGCCCACCCCTGATCCACACAGTGGATGACGAACACAGGGAAGGGGCCGTCCATAAATTACGTCACGCGATTTTGCACGATTTTTGACCCCCCCCCTCATCACACGGCGTCACAAAAAGTCAGACCCCCCCAAAAAAAACAACATGCTTCAAATCGCTTTAAACTATTGTCATTGTAGTGCGTACCCCTAGTTCTTTTGGTAAAGTTACGTAGGTAAAAAATGAAATTAAAATTAATAAAAATAAAAACAATAAAATCACGACGTTTTGGAGGCAACACAAGCTTCCGTCTTCAGGTGAAACGGACGCTTGTGTTGACGGAAGCTTGTGTTGCCTCCGAAACGTCGTGATTTAATTGTTTTTATTTTTATTAATTTTTATTTCATTTTTTACCTACGTGACTTTACCGAAAGAACTAGGGGTATGGATCCTTGCAGTCACGAAAGCTTAAAATCTAGAATTGTAGTGCGTATTTTTTATGTGACGTCACATTTCTCAAACCCCCCCCCCCCCCCCATGTCTGACCACCCCCCCCACCCTAGGTGCGTGACGTCATTAATAGACGGCCCCCAATGCTATGTCTGTACGTACCCTTTCGCTGTAGTTGTGTAATTTTAAAAAAACAACACAAGAGGGCAGTAAAGTATAACTTGGCGTCAAAACACATCACACGTTCGAGACTTCATGCTGCGCCAGTCCAACGCTAGAAAAATCAATAAACTGGCTGGTGAAGTGGGGATAAAATAATAAATCACTGACTCATAACACAGATGTGAACTCGTGTGAACCGGTGCAAATAACGTAGAATAATAATAACTTAGAACTTGATTTGGAGCTTTCGTGACTGCAGGAATTACTCGTTGGTTCTTTCGGTAAAGTCACGTAGAAAGAACAATAAATTAAATAATAGCATACTATTATAATAGCATATTATTTTATTTATATATATTTAATTCAAAAAAGTCTACGTGACTTCACCGAAAGAACCAAAGAATAATTTAGAACTTAGAACGCACGCAGCTTTCGTTCGCTCTCACTGAGAGTCGAGAACCGTTCACAGGCGTGGTGCAAGTCACAGCCACGCGGAAAGGCGGCCACAACCGGCGCCAAAGAATTGTCCAAGCTCTGTGGCCCTACATTGGCATGTTTGGACAACTCGAGTATCGAGTGTTGTGGGAGGACAGCCGAGTACCCGGAGAAACCTCACACGTGGCGAGGGAGTTGTTAACATTCTACCCCACATGTACAGATGTACATTAAACCACTTGCTGCACTGCCACGCACCTAACGAGCCAGGAGATGGCGGCCTTGACGCGCATGGGTTGCGAGGGAGTTTCGCGAATGTGCGTGAGCCACCAACTCTCACCGCCTCCACGGTGCAGGGTTACATCTTGTCACGTCTCAGAAGCGAAGCGAAGGTTGAGCCTGCCTAATGTTCGGGTGGGTGACCACCATGCACAGTTAGTGAATGCTATGCAGGAGGTCGTGGGTTCGCTCCCGAGCCTGACGCCTGATGCTGTATATTTGGAGTTTGCAGTGTCTCTCTCACCATGGTCGCGATGATTTGCCTCCGAGTCCCCCACACCCTACCCCCCCCCCTACCCCCCCCCCCCCCACACATTTAGAGAAACGTGCTAATATAGTATTTGGCTGTAATTAATTTCCACATGATGAGCCACTTTGTTGATCTATCATTGGTGGTCAGGTCTCTTGTGGAAAAGAGCTCAGTAGGCCTTATCTGGTAAAATATAAAAATATTTTAGTTGTAACATCATTAGATAAGATGTTAGTAAGTTCAGAATAGCATTGCAATATACGAGTAGAATGAGTTTGTGTTGACTGGAACACTTTTCTTGATGGGGTAGGGCAGGCTACGATCTGTGGACATTTGCGAACAAGAGCTTTATAGCTCATGGGATTCTTACAATATTAATAAATATTCAGATCGTGATACCAAGACAGGCACTGGAGGGGCACCCCGCAGAAGACCCGAAGCCAGAAAGTGGGATAATTCAAGAACAGACCTTGACGGTCACGTGCTGTTTAGCGAATCACCGTCCAGTGGGTACAATTCACTATCAGGCTTCCATCACAATTGACAATCACCCAGCACACGTGCACAGGATCTGTGGGCAGTGATGGATACACACGTGGCTACTAATACAGCGCCGTGTGGAGGCAGCGAGTGTTGATGGATCACCGCACAGAGGTTGTGAAACTCCCTTCGCCTGGTTGTGGAGATGCCATACCATGGCATGCCAGGAGCATGCGGTACAACATATGTGTAGTCTAATCTCCATCTGTTCCATATGTGTGGTATAGTTTTGCCCCCTCGAATGCGTAGGTTTTCTCTGTAATACAGCTTTTTGTGGTTAGATCACGTAAATATGAATGTGTCGCTAAACCCACCACCACCCGACACAGCCAATTAGTAAGGTTTGTCACGTAAACAGAACA